TGTTTTGATCAAATTTATATTTTTGTTACTTGAAAAATGATAACAATTTTGTATTAATAAAACTTTCGCTGTATAATTTTTTAAATATTATAGAGTTTGAGATTATAAATATTTTTAGTATTTATTTTAGTTTTTTATCTAGGAGATTTTAAAAATAGAGATTTTTTACTAAATAAAAAATTATTTTGATAAATAAAATTTATGCTTTAGTTTAATTAAAAATTCATAATGTTATTATATACGAACTCTATTAATTTTGTTAATTTCTAAAAAAAAAGTAATTTTTCCCAATAAGTTTTTTTATTCCTTACCGTTAGAATATTTTTGTACTTTATGAATAAAAGCCTAATTATGGTTTATTTTTTACAATTTATGTCTACGATTGAGTAATACTTTATCGCTATTAATATTAGAGTACTATAATAATAATATGTATGTGCAAAAGATAAGTAAAGACTGGTTGATCTATTGGTTGGAAATTGATTGACCTGTATAAGATGGTGTGCTGACAGGCTTTTCATTAAATACTGTGATTGGGTATTATCTTATACTAATACAATAATACAATGATATAATGATTGGGAATTATAAAGACTTATTATAATGTCGACAGAAAATAGTAATTAGTCTATTCACATAGCCAATAATTACTGACAATTGATTACTTAAAAATACTATGATAGGAAGAACTTCTTACTTATTTAGTATGGTTACTAAAATGCATGTTTTTTATTCATTATTACTAGTTGATCCTATTTCTCATATGGGTAATGGTATTACTACTGATATATTGTTACTACATCACCACTATTATTGATTCAATGTATAGTTTACTAATTGACTCATAAAGAATATGCAATTTTGATAATACAATAATACTAATATAGAATTGTTAAATAGTCTGTATATACTCTTATATGATTATGAAACTAATTATTTTTATGGATACATTAGTTTTACATCCTTACATAATTTTCTAATTGATTTATAATGCTGATACGATGACTATATTATTGATTTAACACACATACTAATTTATTGGTTTCCTTAGTGTACTGCTATATTGGCTTATGTACCATATTACTTTACTAATTTACATATTTTATTGCTAATATATATGAGTTTTAATGTTCTATAGTGATTCTTAATCATATGACTATTATTATTATGAATTAACTAGCGATATACATACTTATTCTTTATCGTACTTTGAATTTAGTTATAGGATTTTAGTGATAATTTTCTTCAAAATTAGATTGTAGGGTGTGACATGATAGCCCCCACGTGATACCCTGAAGATTCATTTGATTTACTGATATAAGTCATAATGAGTTGGAGACTAATTTGATAATCATAAGGAGTTGAAGACTGATACTTATGATTCATTGGGTAGGAGTCTTAAGTTGGAAATTGATAGAGTCATAAGTGCGGTAGCATGATTAAGACACCCTTATATGAATATCTGATAAGCAATATTTGTATTGACAGCATTGATATATGATATATATTGATACATAATTAGAATACTGATACAACTAATTTACTAGTATTTGGTTGACTAGTAATATAAAATGACTAATCAAATTGACTGAATGAATGAGACTAATTAAATGATACATTTTTGTGAGTCAGCCATGTTAAAAAATTTGCTCATCTCATTTTAAGGAACCATTATCCTATTTTTTATTTTAATAATTTAGAATTTTTTAGAGTTTTATTGATCAACTTTGTATTTCTATTATTTGAAAAATGAGAAAATTTATTTATTAGTAAAACTTTTACTGTGTAACTTTTTATGTGTTATAGAAATTGAGATTATAAATATTTTGAGTATTTATTTCAAATTTTTAGCTAGGAGGTTTTGAAAAATAGCATTTTTTTTATTCAAATACTATTTTGACATATAAAAATAGTGTTTTAGTTCAATTAAAGATTCATAATATTGTTATATTTGATCTCTAGTAATTTGATTAATTTCTAAAAAATTTGAATTTTTTCCTAGTAGTGTTTTCTGTTTGCTACCATTAGGACATTTTGGCACTTTATGAATAAAGCAAAATCATGGTTTATTTACTGCAATGTGTGTATCTAATTGAGTAATAGTTGATTGCTATTAATATTAGAGTATTGTGATAATAATATGTATGCGTAAAAGATAAATAAAGATTGGTTGACCCGTTGGTTGGAGAATGATTGACCTGTATAAGTTGGTGGGCTGACGAGATTTTCTTTAAATACTATGATTTAGTATTATCCTTTATTGATACAATGATGCAATGATATAATAATTGGGAATTATAAGGAGTTATAATTGTGCTGATAGATAAATAATAACGTCTTTGTTTACTAAGCCAATGATTATCAACTACCAATTAGTGATTATTGAAAAATACTATGATATGTAGAACTACTTACTTGTTTAGTTTGATTACTAAAATACATGTTATTGATTCATTATTAATAATTGACACTATTTCTAATATTGTTACTGATATTATTATTGGTATACTGTTACTACATCACAACTATTATTGATTCACTGCATAGTTTACTAATTGACTCTTGCAGAATATGTGATTATAATATTACACTAATACTAATATAGAATAGCTAAATAGTATCTATATACTCCTATATGATTATGAAACTACTAATTTTTATGGATACCTTGGATTTACGGCCTTACATGATTTTTTAATTGATTGATAGTGTTGATCCAATGACTACATTATTGATTCGACACCCATACTAATTTATTGGTTTCCTTATAGTACTGCTTTAGTGGATTATATATGTACCATACTAGTTTACTACTTTACTTATTTTATTGATACTACATATGAGTTTTAATATTTCTACAGTGATTCTTAATCATATGATTGTTACTATTATGAATTAACTTATGATATGCATACTACTTCTTTTCAGTACTTTAAATTTAGTTATATGATTTTAGTGATAATTTTTTCCATATTAGATTTTGGGGTGTGCCATGATAATTCCCACATGATGCCCTTAACATTCTTTAGATTTGTTGATATGATTCATAAGGCGTTGGAGACTAATCTTGGAGTCGTAAGCAACTGGAGGCTAATCCACATGATTCACTAAATAGGAGTCTTAAGTTGGAAACTAATATGTGATTTATAAGTGCAGTAGCAAGATTAAGATACCCTTATATGAATATATGCTAAGCGATAAATATTTTGATAGTATTGATATATGATATATATTGATACATGATAAGAATACTGATACAACTACTTTACTAGTATAATTGGTTGACTAGTAAGATAAAATGAATGATATGATTGATTGGATGAATGAGGCAGATTAAATGATAAAGACAATTTGACATAGTGATCAACTAATAAAGATTGATGTATGGTTGAGGCTGATAATGGATATAACAAGTATAATTGATGAACTTAAATGTGATATGTAACAAACTGATGAATTAATACAGATGATGATATTTATTAATTTATTGTTTTTCTCAAATTATTTATAATATACTATTTCTCTTTTTGTGTATTTATTTTAGTTGTAAGATTTTGGTTACTTGTTGGGTTATGTGCTCATTATGTGATATTTACATGCTTTTATATAAGATTAAAGAGCTTGTAGTGTGAGGCTTGATAGTGATGCTAGTTTAGTTATACTTTCAACTCTTTAGCTTTATGTGTTCTTTTGTAGCATATAATGCCTAGTATATATGCTTTTGGACTTTGAATTTTGTAGCAGAGTGTAAATATTGATTGTAATAATATAATGATGTTTTTTCGCTGTTTATATTTCTCTGAATCCAATTAGTTAGATCTGGTTATCAATAATTTGATTTTGAAAGACAAGAAAAATATAATAGAATGATCCGTTTGTTAAAGAATTTAAAAGAAGAAAAAGATAATAGAGAGAATACAAAATAAAACTCTAAACTTAGATCCTGGGGTGCGACTTGCTACCTTCCAACAATCTCCCTCTTTGTCGCTTGCTTGTAATTCATGTATGTTTGAGTGTGGATTCATTATGCTAATGTGCATGCAGGTTAGTTTTTTTGCATCTTGTTGTTTGATTTATTTTTTCATGTATGAAAGATTATATTTATTATAAGGTGAGGGGATTTTTAGCATTTTTTTTAAAATTTAGGAAATCTTACTAGTGAATTTGTAGTGAGATGGATGTTTGTATCCAGAAATAACTTGCATTATGCTAAACATTTTGCTCAAAACTTAACGCTTCTCTAACTTAGTGCATGTACATGATACCCGAGACATAAATTTTGCATAGTTCTCTATGCAACATGTTAGAATCTTTATTTTAAATGGAGAATTTGATTGATGAGTTATTTTTCATTGGATTGCTCTTCTCCGGCGAAAATCTATTATAATTTGAAAGAAAGTCATATAATATATGATGATGAATAATACATTTTTAAAAAATCAATTGTGTGCCTTTATTTTCTTCTTATTGTTCCCACTATTTTCATTATCCTTTTTTAACATTCGATAATTAGGTTTTGAGGCATTTATTTGTTTGGCATAGTTAAATTATAACTATTTAATTTTGGATTCACAATTATTTATATTGAATGTAGGATTTACGAATTAGTAAATGGATTGATATTTGATGATGAATGAATGGATAGTGATTGATATTGATAATCTTTTGGCTGAACCTATAGTTCAACCTTTGATTTAGAGTTATGATGTCAATGAGAGATAATTGAGCTCGTAGGATCTTGAACGTCAGTTATTTACTTACATTATTGATATTCCTACTAGCGATGAGTTCTTATTATTAAGCAAAATTATTGTTATTGCACAACAAATAATTAAAATAAAAAAGAATCATTCAATTTTTGTAAGAATTGCTAAATTCATCAATATTAGTTAAATACAATATTTTATATTGAATCATATATAATTTGATTCAATTTTTGAAAATTATTTTATTTATTTTAAAAATTTGTCCACCTAGTTTTACCCCGCGCACTAATTCAGTAATTCCAAAGTAAAACCTGATCAATACAGTCCACACACTTCCAAAGTCCACATCCAATCCATAGGGAATGCAGAAATCAGATCGACCTCTTCATCCCAGCAGCAGTCCTTATTCCTTAGGAAGAAGTAAACAATAAACGGCCAGAGATGAAAACCCAACAACCGAGCTGGATCAACTTGGAAACTGCCGCGGCGATTGCGCTGACCATGTCACTGCTGCTACAACCAGTCTCATTCGCCTCAGCCAAAGCAACTGCCCTCCACCCGGTAATCCTCATCCCAGGAGCCGGCGGCAATCAGCTCGAGGCGCGGCTGACCACTAAATATCGTTCCGGAAACATCATCTGCCAACTCTCCGCACTGAGCAAGCGCGGTTCTTGGTTCCGCCTTTGGTTCGACCCCACCGTCCTCTTGGCGCCGCTCACCCGCTGCTTCGCCGAGCGAATGAAGCTCACTTATCTCGCCGCTGTCGACGACTTCCGCAACGCCCCCGGCGTCGACACCCGCGTCCCCAACTTTGGCTCTACTCAAAGCCTCCTCTATCTCGATCCCCATCTCAAGTGATTCGAATGCCTTCTCCTCCGAGACAATTCTTCTATTTCGATTTATATACAACCGACCTATATTTGTTATAACAAAAATCTTGAACTTGGTCTTGCAGGCATATCACCGAATACATGGCGTCACTCGTATCGGCCTTAGAAGCGGTAGGCTACATCGATGGCCTCAACCTTTTCGGTGCGCCATACGACTTCCGCTACGGCCTGGCACCCTCCGGCCACCCATCGATGGTCGGTAACCAGTACCTCAGTGAACTTCGCGCACTGATCGAGTCCTCTGCCGCTGCCAACGATGGCCGGCCTGTCATCCTCGTCGCCCATAGCCTCGGAGGGCTTTTCGCCCTTCACCTTCTCGATCGCTCCCCGCTTTCCTGGCGTCGGCAGTTCGTCAAACATCTTGTGACCCTCTCCACCCCATGGGCCGGAACAGTCCAGGAAATGCTCACCTTCGCCTCCGGCTATACGCTAGGCGTTCCCTTCGTCGACCCGCTAATAGTTCGCTTAGAGCAGCGCAGCGCCGAGAGCAACCTCTGGCTTCTTCCCGCTCGCCGGTTGTTCGGCGAAATGCCTCTAGTGTTTGCAAACAACAAGAGCTACTCGGCTAAAGACATGGCGGAGTTTTTGAAGGATATTGGATTCGAAGAAGGGATTTACCCATACGAGACAAGAATACGGCCGATGGTGGACAGAACGGTGGAGCCTGAAGGGGTTCCGGTGACTTGCATCGTTGGGTTGGGCGTTGATACGCCGGAAGCCTTGTTTTATGGGAGCAAAGGGTTCGATGAAAAGCCGGAGATGATGTACGGTGATGGTGATGGGACGGTTAATATAGAAAGCTTGCTGGCGCTAGAGAAGGAGTGGTCTGAAGCTGGAAGAAAGCATCTTAAGATCATAAAGCTTCGAGGGATCTCTCACAGCGCCATACTTAAGATTACGGCTGCAGTTAACAAGATTATTGAGGAGCTTGGGTTAATCAATTCAAGCTAAATTTTTTCGGTATCTTTGTTTTGATTTCTGATTTCCAAACCTTTGGGAGGGGAGGAAACTGTGACACATTATATATATGCTTTATTATAAATATTTATGCCATTGCACATAAGCTGAATAAATTAAGTCTATTATAAATAATGGCAAATTTTTTAACAGTTAATTTCATATGCATCGTCAAAGTTTTTAGAAGTTGACATATTTTGCCCTTTCTCTTGATCAAATGGTCATGTTCTCTTAGTTTGTTTTAGATTGATGAATATTGAAATATTTATGACAATAAAAAATAGAAAATTTGACATCTTAGTTTTGTATGAAGATTTAGACAAAAGCGATATATAATTAAATTCATTGTAGAAGTTATAAGAGCTCTATGATATAGGAGTTATTTTAAAAAGATATTTGCTTGTTTGTTCGGTTAACTCTTTTGAGGAGGGGAGACATAAGACTAAAAATTCTAGCATAAATGCTAGTCATGACATTAGGATTAGAGTTGGTTTCGAGGTGCATTGATCTTATGGGCAATATTGTGCATTGATATTATTGATAACAAGTGATAAACTTGGTGACATCAATATAGCCATGTGACAGCAGTAGGGGATTGTATTCCAGTGATGGTGGTCAGAGGACTGTAGCTAGGTGTTGTATAAAGGATTGTAAAATGGTGATCATGGTTGGAGGACAATAGTTGGGTGATGATGGATGCAGAATATTAATCAAGTGATAGAGGTTAGAGAACTATACTTGAGCAATGGTGACTGGGTGACAGAGGTCATATTATCATATTCGGGCGGTGGGTTGGAAGACAATAAAAGGATAATGGTGGTCTGGAGACCATATTTGAATGATAATGGTTGGGAAGTTGTAGTTGGAATAGGGTTGTTAGAGGAACTTAATCTGGTGAAGATGTTTGAGGGACTGTAATCAGGAAATGGTGGTTGAGTAATCATAGTCAGGCTACAATTAGAGGTGTTGCAACCCATGACCCCGAGTTTGAGATTTTGATGATGCCAAATAATGAGTGTTTTGGAACAACTTTTCATTGAATATTATTTTATTTGCTATTGTCCTTGAGTACTAACATTTCAGGAAGATCACAAGTGACTCAGGACGAAAGGAAGACTCAAGACCAGGTAGATTAGGAGTATGAGTCAAACATTATATTTTTCTATTTATTTTATTTTATTTTCTTGAGTCTGGCCACAAAATGCATAAGAGTAAGAGCAACCATGCACACACACAGGGGGAGAGTTTGTTTTTAAATGCAAAATATAATAGAATTTCTTCTCTGGAGATTATACTGTACGATTTTAATTAGTACCGTACGATCCAAGCAATTTGGACGATTCTGTGAATAGATCGTACTGTACGAATAGCTTCATACTGTACGATATGTTCAGATCCAAAACCCTAGCCCTACTTTAGTTTAAGTAAGTGATTTTGCGTCTTTCGTACTGTACGAACATTTTCGTACTGTACGATCTATTTTAAATACTTACTTAAATTAACCCGTAATTAGTGCATGAAAGTGAGGCCTAATTAAATTTTGAGCATCGTACCGTACGAACCTGATTGTACCATACGATGAACAGAGACGAAGTTTGATCGTCCCGGATATCGTCCTGGACGATCTCTTGGTTTTTGTCACATCGTACTGCACGATAATAATCGTACCATACGATGAACAGAGACGACATCTGATCGTCCAGACCATCGTCCTGTACGAATAGTATTTTATTGACCGTAGCGTATGATAATATATCGTACAGTATGAATTGTTTTTGAAATGTTCGTACATCTTCGTACCAAGACGACGTCTGTTTGTAAAGATCGTACTGTACGATGTTGAATCGTATTGTACGAACAATAACGGCTACTTTTAAAATCAGAGAGTTTTTGGAGCCCGTTTTAGGTGTTAATCTAGTCCTCTTTCAGTAAGATTTACAGAGGAGGGAGAACGTGGTTAGAGAGAGATTCCAAGGGAGAAGAGCTCTAGAGAGTCCTCTTAGGGTTGAGAGAGGAAGGAGAAGAGTGAGCGTTTGAGGGAGAACGTACGGTGTAGAGGGAGATATCACGGGTTCTGCGTCAGTTACTTGCCTGTCTATTGTCTGCCTCCTTGTGGCCTTAGAAGATTTTGAGGAGGAGCGATCTCAGGGATAGGCTGCTTCCTACATCCGTGACCTCGAGGTTCTCTGCCTTCCTCAGGAGGAAAAATCGAGAAGTTTCTCTCTGCCGTCGCCAGGAGGGCGAAACTAGAGTTTGGCAGCTCCGGTCCACACACTGGCAATTGGTGAAAGGGAGTTGTAAAGTTTCTCTCGCCTTGCACACGATGAAGAGGGGTGCAAAAATCGAGACTATTTTGGTGTAGTGAAAATCCACGGAAGCGGAGGACTATCCGCGGAGTTGGACGTCAGGTACATATTATTTGACATGAACCACCACCTATAAAATATTTTGGTGTGTTTTTTGGTCACATACTTATCGTCATTTTATTTTTCT